TGGCCATGCTGCAATCCCTTCTCCATTCTCCTCTTGAGATCTTGGGGATGCACACACATGCACCCAGTGTGAGTTTAAGTCACTGGATCCAGAATTTGAACCACGGTCGACTACATGGGAGTCCAGCAACATAGCCAACTGCTGGTCCCCTAAAATAATTCTTTAAAACAGAAAGTAAACACTGGGGCCAACAGGTGGCTTGGTGGTTAAGGTGCTAGACTCCCATGTGGCCAACTGTGGCTCAAGTCCTAGACCCAGCTGCTTGAAAATCACACTAGGCCCATGTACGTGGGTGCATGCATGTGTGAATACCCAAAGTTCCACAAAGAGAATGTAGGAGATGGGATTATGGCATGGTCATCCCCCACAGGGGGTAATATCTCACTTTCCCTCTCTGTCTTTCTCCAACAAGGACACGTGCCCTATGACAAAAACCTAAAAAACAAACAAAAAAGTAAATACTGGGACCAGCAGTTGGCGTAATGGCTATGTCGCTGGACTCCCATGTAGTCGACTGTGGTTCGAGTCTCGGACCCAGTGGCTTAAAGTCACGCCGGGCACATGTGCGTGCATACCCAAGATTCCGAGAGGAGAATGGAGGAGAAGGGATTGGGGCATGGCCAACCCCCCTGGGGGGCGATTTCTCGCTTTCTGTCTCTCTGTCTCTGTCTGGTGAGCGCACGTGCCCTATAGCAAAAACCTCTCAAAAAAAAAAAAAAAGTAAATACTAAGTGATCAAGCACTGGTTGAGCAAGTTTTTCTTTGAAAAAACAAAGTCTTGCTATGTTGTGATCCTAGCTCAGAGTATAGGTACACGCTCATTTTTTTTCCTCCAGGCAAGGCTTCACTATGTTACTCAGATCAGCCTTCAACTCATGATCCCCCTACTTCAGCCTCCTGGTGTCACTGGGAAGCATTCCCCGGGGCCCAGTGGGAAAGACCAAAGTTTTACAAAATACTTCATTTGAACTGACAGGTAATGAGCAAATAAAAATAGGCAGGATGTTTGATATGGGAGGATTCCTTATCACTTGTCTTTACTAGGATTTTCTTCACTATTATTATTGCTTTTATAGAAGAGGTTGATGTTCACATAGAGGAGCTAGCAGCTGATGGTGGTTAAGGCGCTGGATTCCCACATGACCAATCATGGTTCAAGTCCTGAACCTAGCAGCTTGCTTTCTCTCTCTCTTTCGCGCTCTCTCCTAAGCACTCATGTCCTGTAGCAAATTAATAATAATAATAATGATAAATAAAATTAAATAAATAATAAAGAAGTTCTTGTCTAATAAAGATATTACTTAATGCACCTGCATAAGAGTTTAGACAAATACAGAAAGTTTTGTGAAGCTCATCATGAAGAAAAGGAAAGTAAAAATAAGATGTTCAAATTACTAACTCTTTGAATGTTGATTTATTTTTATTTATTTATTTTTTTTAACTACAGAAAAAAAAGAATAGAAGTAGCCTGATAGTGAACTCTTCTCTTCTGAAGCCTTCAAGAACTAAGCTGTTTTTTTTTTTTTTTTTTTTTTTCTTGGGCATGCACACACACGTGCCCGGCGTGAGTTTTAAGCCACGGGGTCCGGGATGTGAACCACAGTCAACTACGTGGGAGTCCAGCGACATAGTCATTATGCTAACTGCTGGTCCCTAAGAACTAAGCATTCTTTAAGGTCAAATAATTTTGCCACTCCTAGGCATAACTCAAAATCAAAGTTGCCCCGTTTTCTCCCCTCCAGGGTAAGACAAAGCATTCATTCAGTGTACTGATATAAAAAGACTATAGGAGCCAGCAGGTGGTGTGATGATTAAGTCACTGGACTCACACATCGCCAAGTAAAATTCAAGTCCCGGACCTGGCGGCTTACTTTCTCACTTTCCCTCTTTTTCTCTGATGAGGACACATGCCTTGTAATAAATTTTAAAAAATAATAATAATAAAATTCAGTAAATAACTCCTTTAAAAAAAAAAAAGACAATTGGGACCAGCAGTTAGTGTAATGTCTATGTCGCTGAACAACCATGTAGTCAACTGCGGTTCGCGTCCCGGACCTGGTGGCTTAAAACTCACGCCGGGCACATGTGCGTGCGTGCCCAAGATCCCGAGAGGAGAACGGAGGAGAAGAGATTGCGGTGTGGCTATCCCCCCGGGGAGTGATTTCTTGCTTTCTGTCTCTCTGTCTCTCTGTCGAGCGCACGCGCCCTATAGCAAAAACCTCTCCAAAAAAAAAAAAAAAAAGACTATTTATAAAGCGTATGGTAGAGACCAAATGGAAAGTTAGCAGCTGGCAGAGGTTAAAGGATTGGACTCCTACATGTCAGATCGAGATTAGAACCCCAGACTCAGCAGCTTAAAAATCACACCAAGCACATGTGCGTATGTGCCAAAAATCCTAAAAGGAGAATGGAAAAGGGACTGCAGTGTGCCTATGCCCCTGGGGGTGATTTATCACCTTCTGTCTCTCCATTGCATGCACACACCCACATGCCCTTCGGTAAAAAATTTAAAAACAAACAAACTAAATGCATCAAATGCCAGAAATCATCTTCCTTTCCAAAAAAGAAATATGTATAAATGTTCCGGACGACTAACCCAGTACATGGCTCTAAGTCCAAGTTCTTCTTTTCTTCACTTTGTAATAAATCTTCTATTTTCTCTCTGAGGAATTAGAAGAGACCGTGACCATCAGTACCTCAAAGGAATGAAGTCATCAACCAATAGAATAACCAGACTCAAACACAGTCTGGGTACAAGACTATGTGACAATACAGTGCTACAGAAACAGGTTACAACTTTTACATCCAAGACTTAAAGAAAAGTCTTTTATTTTGGCATATTGTTCTGAATTCGTGGCCCACTCCCTGCGGTCAGAGACACTGGACCATGGCTGTCAGGCCCTTGGTCCATACAGGTCTCACACACCCACTCAGGTCTCTTGCCTGGTCACAGGCAGCACCTACAAGCACAACACCCAGAACTCCATTTACGGTTTGCTGCAGCTGCACAAATTCTGACGAGCCACAATTAAATCGTGCTCCTCGCAGGACCACACCCATGTGTGTACTCCGATCGTGTGGCATCAGACTGACACCCCGCCACACGTTAGTCATTGTGCACTGGGTCTCAGTTTAGGAACTTACACTACTCGGTCTATGAACTTCTTCTGATCCTCAGGAACCGTCACGGGACACTTCGAGGTGTTAGGAGACACGTATGCGAGAGCTCCTGCACCATTGGCCTGTGAACGTTTCTCGTCGTACTGCTCTCTCAACTGTCTTTCCTCTTCTTGATTTAAATATGGAATGCCTACACACAATATTTAACAGAACACATTAGCAAAAATAACTGTTTAATGTATAATTGTTTTAGCAAACCAAAGAGTCATTTTTGTGCCCAGGAAAGATTTACCATTATTTAACTATATCTCGAAAAATTCAACAGAAGGGGAAAATGATTTTGAAATGTGTTTGCTTATTTACTCATTCTTCTTTCAACAAATATCTCTCTGGCACTACGCTGCACCAAGCACTAGATTAGGCCCTGGGGAGCTGGCAGGAAGTGAACAAGCAGGTCTGTTCTGTATGTGCTTAAGAGAACTACTTCTGACAAGATGATTAGAAAAGGCCCCTGTGAGAGGAAACCCGAAGAACGAGAATGAATCAGACATGCAAAGAGCCAAGGGAACAATATTTCTTCCTTCTTTTTTTGAGGGGGGGTAATTTTGCTATAGGGCACATGCATTCATCAATGAGACAGAGGGAGAGAGAGAAAAAATGACAGAGAAAAAGGGGGAAAGTAAGAAAATAAGAGGATGGCCACACCACAATCCCTTTTCCTCCTCTCAGGAGTGTGGGCTTACACGTGCCAGCATGTTCCTCAGACTGCCAGGTCTGGGATGCTAACCCAGTTGTCCACGTGGGACCCACCTACCTTCCCCACACCGCAAGCTGGCCCAGGGAAGGGTCTTTCAGTCATGGGAACCAAGTATAAAAGCCCAGAGTAAAGAAATGGCTTGGGATGTTCCAGAAACAATAAGAACGTTGGTATGGCCAGGACACGATGAGCAAAAGGGGAATGATAGGACATCAGGTTAGAGAGAGACTAGAGCAAGATCATGCAGCCCCTTACAGTAAGGCTATGGTAAGAAATGTATTTTATTAAAAGAGCAATGGGACATCGTTAGTTTTTGTCCCCCCCCCCTTTTTTTTTAGTTTTGCTATAAGGTGCTTGCACTTACTGGAAAAACACAGAAAGACAGGGAAAATGAGAAAGCACGCCCCAAGGAGATGGCCACACCACAATTCCTTCTTCCCTCAGAATTTTGGGCACACATGCATATGTGCCCAGTGTTTTTCAAGTCACCAGGTCCCGGATCACATAGCTGACCATGGGGAATCCAGCTACTTTAAGTACCACACTACCTGCTGGCCCACATCATCTGGTTTTAAACAAAATAACATCTGCTTTGCATTTAAAAGATCACTGTGAACTGTTCTGAGAGTAGACGTAGAGAGATCAGTTAGGAGAAACAGTCCAGGCAGGAGATGAAAGCTCAGATCAGAGGCTGAAAACTTTTTCTAAAAGGGCCAGAAATGGGAACCAGCAGTTAGCATAATGGCTATGTCACTGGACTCCCACGTAGTCGACTGTGGTTCGGGTCCCGGACCCGGTGGCTTAGAACTCACGCCGGGCGTGTGTGCGTGCGTGCCCAAGATCCCGAGAGGAGAATGGAGGAGAAGGGATTGCGGCATGACCATCCCCCCTGGGGGGTGATTTCTCGCTTTCTGTCTCTATGTCTCTCTCCGTCTGTCTGGCGAGCGCACGCACTCTATAGTGAAAATCTCTCCAAAAAAATAAATAAATAAATAATTTAAAAATAATAAAAGGGCCAGAAAGTCACTATTTTAGACTTGTAGCCACTTGGGATCGCTGTTGAGATACTTGACTCCACTGATGTAGCAAAAAAGCAGTAATACACAATGGAGATAGCTTGCCCCCAAATCCAGCAGTAGGTCTCTGTGTGTCCCGGGCTTAGCCTACAGAGATGCAAGGGTAGATGAAGAGAGTGATTTCCAAGACAGGAGAGAGAGGATTTACTGATAAAGTGGAGGTGAGGGCTAATAAAGGGAAAGGGGAAAAATTTTTACTGCTGGATGGTATGTGTCCTCAACTGGGAAGCGGGGAGGGAGGAATACCAACCCCCAAGTGGAATGTGGTCACACTGCAATCTTTTTTCCTCCATTTCTCCCCCACCATGATACTGGACACGTACACACACACACCTGTTATGTTTCTCAAGCCACTGGGCTGCAGTCAATCACCTGGGATCTAACTCCCATACATAGGGCTTAACATGCTGCACTAAGGGCCAGCCCCAAAAAAGGCAAAATTAAGACAGATCCCAACTGGCTGACCAGTTTGAATCCCAGCCTTGGCAGCTTGAAAAACATACTGGGTATGTGAACATGCAGACCAAAAATCCAACTGGACAAAGAAATGGAGAAGAAGGGATTACGGTGCGACCACACCCCACTGCGGGGTGCTTTCTCCCTCTGCCTTTCCCTGTCTCTCTCTGGCAGTGCATGCACACTCTACGGCAATTGAAAAAAATAAATCATGGGGCTGGCAGGTGGTGTGGTGGTTGGGGCACTGGATTCCCACACGGTCGACCACAGTTTGAGTCACGCACCTGCTGGCTTGCTTTCTCACTTTTCTTCTCTCTTTCCCTGGTCAAATGAAATGGTAATTATAATAAATAAAATTAGATATAAAATAATTTTAAATGAAAAACGAAATCACACTGCTACCTGTCTATTTAGTTTAAGCAACTGCGAAGATGGGCCACTAAGTGAGTTGAGAAAAACTAGGGGAAGAACAAGCATGGGAGTATATAAAATGATTTTAAATGAAAAACGAAATCACACTGCTGTCTATCTGGTTTAAGCAACTGCGAAGATGGGCCACTAAGTGAGTTGAGAAAAACTAGGGGAAGAACAAGCATGGGAGTCCAGGGAGTGGAAATCAAAAGCTACATTCTGGACATATTAAAGAAGTTAAAGTATCGATAAAGAGTTGGCGATGGAAACCTATAGCTCAAGAGGAAGGTGGTGAGATACAAATGTAGTCACCATCACAGGATGGTAATAGTAAAAGCCACAGCTGCTACTGAACTTTGTAGAAAGAATGACAGAATCAGAAAAATACCACTTGTCAACAGCAATAGCTGTCTGAACTAAGGCTCACTGACAGATACTAAGACTAATTAGCAAAAAAAGTGGTCCAGGGGCCAGCAGATGAAATGGTGGTTACGGCAGCAGACTGCCATATGGTCGCCTGAAGAGACAGCCCTGAAAAGAATGGTGGCTCCTGTGGAAGGGGAAATTCAGGTGCTCTGAAAGTGGCACGAGGAGGCACCAGCAGATCGATGGCTAATGGCTATGTCGCTGAATTCCCATGCAGTTGACCACAGTCTGAGTCCTGGACCTGGCGGCTTGAAACTTACACAGGGTGCGTGTGTGCACGTGCCTAAGATCCCGAGAGGAGAAAGGAGGAGAAGGGGCTGCAGTGTGGCCATTCCTGGGGGTGGGGGTATGATTTCTTGCTCTCTGTCGCTCTGGTGAGCAAACATGCCCTATAGCAAAAATCTCTCTAAAAAAAAAAAAAAAAAAGGACCAAGAAGAAACCAGAATACTGAGCACAGCCCAGCCAGAGAGGGAAAAAGAGTGAGAAGTAAAACTACTTGCCTCTAAGAGGGCTGAAGGGAGATCAGTACCAAGAGTCGTCACCTGGTTCCCTGTCAGGCTTCAGACAAGACAGCCAGAGGAAAAGGTTGTGGCATTTACAAAGTGTTACCGGAGAGGTTTGCTAATGAGGGGAAATGACAGCCTAAATCAGATCCAGAGACTATCAACAACAGCATGGGGATAGGTCTTGGTAATAATGGAGTTCTGCTTCTGTTTTAAACAAAATATTCTAAGGTTCAACCATAAAAGTGAGAATGAAGCATCTTCCAATTTGGTTGTGTCTTTTCTTTTATGAAAATAAAACTAGCAGTCTGGAAACTAAATATCCATGAGTACTGTGCTAAAGTAGTTCCTTCAAAAGATGTTTGTGCAATGCCACTATCATGCACTAAATACATTTGGAACTGGGACCAGCAGTTAGCGTAATGGCTATGTCGCTGGACTCCCATGTAGTCGACTATGGTTAGAGTCCAAGACCCGGTGACTTAAACTCATGCCAGGTGCCTGTGTGTGCGTGCCCAAGATCCCGAGAGAATGGAGGAGAAGGGATTGTGGCGTGGCCATCCCCCCTGGGGGTGATTTCTCACTTTCTGTCTCTCTGTCTCTCCCTGTCTTTCTGGTGAGCACACACACCCTATAGCAAAATGGTTCACTATGTTAAGCAGTTTTGACTGCAAAATTTTCTTTAGTATTTCCAAAGATCAAAATCACCAATATAAATTGATATGCATTGGGGCCGACAAGTGGCATGATAGTTGGGACATTGGAATTCCACATGGCCAACGGAGTTTCAAATCGCAGACATCGTGGCTTGCTTTCTCATTTTCTCTCTCTCTCTTTGATGACTATAGTAACAATAATAATAGTAATAATAAATAAAATAAATAATTTTTAAAAATTAAGATGCAGCACCTACTAGCGCCCTCACAACACAATATGGCACAAGAAAAAAAAATTCTAAAGGCCTCAGAAGGAGATCATGCTAAGATAGTCCATTTGAAACCTATGTACCTTTTTTGAAAACAACCTTGTTCTTTTCTTGCATTAAATCTCCTTCCTTACTTCGTTTAATAATTCTACATTCATCATAAGAAAAAAATACAATTTATGAAAATTATTAAATTCAAATAGTTATTGACCTTACAGCAGTATGTACTTAATACCACTGGGGAAAAGGTTATTAAGTGAAGGAAAGGAAATTAATGAAGCAAAAGGAAGAGGTCAGAGGGGGCCCAACGTGTGGCATGGCAGCAAGGCGAACTCACATGGGAAGGTTCTAAGTCTAGGCCCAGAGACATCCCTGAGCACACCTGGTGTAAGCATGCCCATGATCCAGGGCTGGGTAAAGTTGAGGGCAAATGATGGCATCAAGAACTTCCTGGGGTTGGGAACCAGCAGTTAGCGTAATGGCTATGTCGCTGGACTCCCACGTAGTCGACCACTGTTCGCGTCCCGGACCCGGTGGCTTAAAACTCACGCCGGGCGCATGTGCGTGCGTGCCCAAGATCCAGAGAGGAGAATGGAAGAGAAGGGACTGCGGCGTGACCATCCCCCCTGGGGGGTGATTTCTCACTTTCTGTCTCTATGTCTCTCTCTGTCTGTCTGGCGAGCGTATGCGCCCTATAGCGAAAACCTCTCCAAAATTAAAAAAAAAAAAAAAAAAAAGAACTTCCTGGGATTGCTGTCTTTGCCTCTCTTACTCGTGGAATAAATAAATAAACTTCTTAAAAGCAGTTTAGGACCGGGACCAGCAGTTAGCGTAATGGCTATGTTGCTGGACTCCCATGTAGTCGACCGCAGTTTGTGTCCCGGACACAGTGGCTTAAATTCATGCCGGACGCGTGCGCGTGCGTGCCCAAGATCCCGAGAGGAGAACAGAGGAGAAGGGATTGCGGCATGGCCATCCCCCCAGGGGGTGATTTCTCACTTTCTGTCTCTCTGTCTCTGTCTGTCTGGCGAGTGCACACCCCCTATAGAGAAAACCTCTTAAACAAACAAACAAACAAACAAACACCAGAGCTGTCCATGAGGGTTGAGCAGTTAGCAGGTAGAATGGTAGTTAAAGGTGCAGGATTCCCACTGACTCCCGCACGGTTCTTGTCCCGAACCTGTGAGCTTGCTTTCTTGCTTTTGCTTTCTCTCTCTCTCTGGTCAAATTTTAAAAATAATAATAACAAATAGAATTAAATAAATACATAATTACTTTTTCAAAAATGTTTAGGAAAAAAGGGCGAGCCACCCTGGTATGATCCAAGGCCCAGTCCTCATGCACCCATGAATTCATCAGCTATTTAACATGACCTCCTGATTCAGGAGACTCATGCTGTGCCCTGGGGATGTGAAAGAACAGAACGCAACCCCTCCCCCAGGGTGCCCGTCAACCTAGCACACTGAAAGGTGGACGTTAATGATCGTGCAGTCTCTGTAGACGTGTGTTCTCCTATGTGAAACCGAGAAACTGTCTACAGAGACTGCACGATCGTTAACGTCAAATGCCAAATGGAAGGGGGGCATTTGTTAGCATTACTGGAATACAGCTACTTTTAGAAGTGCTAGGTCACTTTTCATACTGGGAGAAAAGGGGAGCACTGCCTACAGGTAGTACATTAGGAGACTAACTCACATCAGTGGTGTGCTCCTAAAAATCACTCAATAACATCAGGACTTTAAGAGGCCTCATCCGAACTAAATGAAGCAGGGGACCAACAGATGGCATAGTGGTTACGTTGCTGGACTTCCACATAGTCAACCATGGTTCAAGTCCCAGACCCAGTGGCTTAAACTCCTCTCCAAGAGGAGAATGGAGAAGGGATTGTAGTGTGGACATCCCCCCTGGGGGGTGATTTCTTGCTTTCTATCTTCTTGGCGAACACACAGGCCTTATAACAAAAATCTCTCTTAAAAAGAAAAGAATAAAAGGAACTAAATGAAGCAGAATCTTACTCTCCTCCTCTGTTCATGGTTGACAAAATTAAAAAAAAAAAAAGAAAAGTTCCAGCTAAGAGAGTTAAAAAAAGTTCTAAGGCTACTTATTTGGTGTACTGGAACTCCGAGGTTCTGTTTCAGATGGCAAGCACAGAATGAGAAAAGGTTAGATTTACTTTCCAAGGACATTTTGAAGGCTTATAAATGCTAAAGATGAGTCACATGTCATCTTACCATTGCGAAAAACTTTATTAAAATCAAATCCTTGGCTGGCTAGAAAGTCAATGCTGGAGCTCTGAAACGAGAGTAAACAAAACAGACATCTCAGTGACAGCAGCAGCAGCTAAGTGACAAGAAGCAGAAAAGTAACCCAGGCCAGTAAACAAAGTCAACCAGGCAAGGAGGCAAGGTGCCAAAGGCAGAAGACAAGAGGTTCTGCCTCCACAGCTGCCAGAGGACCCATTAATTTACTTAAAATAGCTCAGGTCTTCTTTATAGCTTATGTAACAAACATACTATGTTTCGCGATGTATTTCTTTTTAAACCCGCTGGGTCAGCAGATATTCACCCAATTAGCAGAAAGCCCCTGACCTCTTGATTGATGTACTGACTACAAATAGAAATAAAATGTCTATCTTATCCTACCCCAAGTTCAAGTTTAAGACATTTCGTAAGTGCAGGGTATACACAAAACATCAATATCCACCTCAGATCAGGTATTGAAAACCCAAACTGGGCACTTTTTCTTTTTTTAAAGAGATTTTTGGTATAGGACGTGTGCACTTGCCAGAGACACAAACAGAGACAGAGAGATGGAAAGCAAGAAATCACTCCCCAAGAGGGATGGCCACGCCACAATCCCTTCTCCTCCATTCTCCTCTCAGGATTTTGGGCACTGGGAACCAGTGGTTAGCATAATGTCTATGTCGCTGGATTCCCACGTAGTTGACCGCGGGTCGCATTCTGGACCCAGTGGCTTAGAACTCACGCCAGGCGTGTGTGCGTGCGTGCCCAAGATCCTGAGAGAATGGAGGAGAAGGGATTGCGGCGTGACCGTCCCCTCTTGGGGGGGTGATTTCTTGCTTTCTGTCTCTATGTCTCTCTCTGTCTGTCTGGCGAGCACACGCGCCCTGTAGCGAAAAAACCTCTCAAAAAAAAAAAAAAAAGGATTTTGGGCACACACACACACACTACATGGGAGTCCAGTGACATAACCATTATGCCATACTCTGGTCCCAAAACTGGGCACTTCTAATGTTCAAGAACAACAACAAAAAGGTTTCCATAACAAGCCTTACCAAATAAACATACCTTAAAACTAGGAGGAGCTGAAATATGTTAAGTAGATTCAAATACAAAGTATTAAGTAAGGAGCCAGCAAGTGGCATAGTGATTGAGGCGCTGAACTCTCACTTGGCTGGCCACAGTTGAAGTCCCAAACTTGGAGGCTTGCTCTCTCTTCCTCTCTCTGTCTCTATCTGGTGAGTGCCATGTGCCCTACAACATACTGAAAAATAATACTAAATAAAAAACTAATTAAATAATCCTTTAAAAATACATTAATAATGCTACAGATGGTATACAGTATGGCAATGTCATAAAGTTCCCACTCAGATTCACTGAGGAGAGGGAGACATTAGTGCAGCTATGCAAACTGTATTCTTGGCTGAGTCAGAACATCAGCAGGCCACACATCTGAATCACTGTAATCTGGTCCCTCAGAGCACCTTTACTGAACGGAACTCTGACATTATACCATCAGTCCAGATCTAAGGACACTGCAACATTCAATCCTATTAAACTTAGCCCAGAACCCACTTCAGAGATGTGTTTGAAGACAAGGTTTTCTACATTAACGGTTTCCTTAAAATTCTAGGATCAGGACCCAGCAGATTGCCTAATGGTTACATTGCTGGACTCTCATTTAATCGACCGCAGTTTGAGTCTCAGACCCAGTGACTTAAAACTCACGCCAGGGAGACCAGCAGTTGGCGTAGTGGCTACGTCGCTCAACTCCCATGTAGTCAATCACGGTTTGAGTCCTGGACCCGGTGGCTTAAACTCACGCCGGGCACATGAGCGTGCGTGCCCAAGATCCCGAGAAGAGAATGAAGGAGAATGGCATGGCCATTCCCCGTGGGCGGTGATTTCTCGCTTTTGTCTCTCTGTCTCTCTCTGTCTTTCGGGAGAGCACACACGCCCTATAGCAAAAACCTCTCTCCCCCCCAAAAAAAAATTGTATGCAGAAAGGTAAATATCAGGCCCCCTGTAACCTAGTGGTTAAGGGAGTTGGATGTCATGTGGCTGACTGGGTCTCAATTCCCACAGCCCCAACTATCTGGAGAAGTAAAGGAGAAGGGAATGCAGCATGATATGCCCCGTTGATGGGGGTTATTTTCTCCCTCTCCCTCTGTCCTCTGTCTCTACATGGCAAGGACACATGCCCTGTGGCAACTGAAAAAAAATAGTAAATACCATATGTATGTTTTCTTTTAACTCTATTTATTTTATTCATAAGAGCAAGCATACATATGCAGATGAGAGACACAGAGAGATGCAAACACCCTAAACAGGTTTTCATCATGCATGATCCCTTCCCTCTCCCCTAGCCCTGCAGCTCCTCAGGATCTTAGATGCATATACATTCAGCATGCTTTCAGGTCAACAGAGGATCCAAGCCCACAGTGGGCCCTGTGCCTGCAGGACTGCAGTTCAGCATGCTACCACCCGTTCCACTGAGTAGTGAACACAAATTCTTTCTAAGACATGGAGGAGCCAGGACTAGCAGTTGGTGTAATGGCTATGTTGCTGGACTCTGTAGTCAACCATGGTACGAGTCCCACACCCGCGGCTTAAACTCACGCGAGGCGCATGTGAGTACGTGCCCAAGATACTGAGAAGAGAATGGAGGAGAAGGGATTGAGGCTGGCCATCCCCGTTGGGGTGAGTGATTTCTTGCTTTCTGTCTCTCTGTCTCTGTCTTTCTGGCGAGTGCATGCGCCCTATAGCAAAAATCTCTCAAAAAAAAAGAAAAAGAAAAGAAACTCACACTGGGCACGTGTGTGTGCATGTCCAAAATCCAAAGAGGAGAATGGAGGTGAAGGGATTGCAGCATGGTCATCCCCCGTGTGTGTGTATGTGTGTGTGTGTGCCGGGGGTTAGTTCTCACTTTCTCTGTCTCTCCGGTGAGTGTAGACGCCCTACAGCAAAGATCACTTAAAAAAAAAAATTTAGTCTTTTATAACTGCATAATCACTTAAACACAAGACAAGAGAATGATGGCAAGACTCAACTCAATTTGTGTTTCTACTGGGAGAGGAGCTAGGATGCAAGATTATAAAGGAGAAAAGATCAGCCCTTATCTTTAATCACACATCCATACATCCATACCACTCACTCACTCACATTTTCCTGATCCATTAAAAGAGATAATCAAGGGACCAGCAGTTAGCGTAACAGCTATGTCGCTGAACTCTCATGTAGTGAACTGCAGTTCAAATCCCAGACCCAGTAGCTTAAACTCATGCCGGGTGCGTGTGCATGCATGCCCAAAATATCAAGAGGAGAATGGAGAGGGGACTGTGGTGTGGTCATCCCCCCTGGGGGGGTGATTTCTTGCTGTCTGTCGGTAGGGATAGGCTGGCCTTGCCGTTACCCAAAGTGTTCAGCCAGGTCCTGGAAATTTGCAAGACAGGGAAACACCACTGTTAATAAAAGGTTTTCATCATGCATGATCCCTTCCCTCTCCCCTAGCCCTGCAGCTCCTCAGGATCTTAGATGCATATACATTCAGCATGCTTTCAGGTCAACAGACGATCCAAGCCCACAGTGGGCCCTGTGCCTGCAGGACTGCAGTTCAGCATGCTACCACCCGTTCCACTGAGTAGTGAACACAAATTCTTTCTAAGACATGGAGGAGCCAGGACTAGCAGTTGGTGTAATGGCTATGTTGCTGGACTCTGTAGTCAACCATGGTACGAGTCCCACACCCGCGGCTTAAACTCACGCGAGGCGCATGTGAGTACGTGCCCAAGATACTGAGAAGAGAATGGAGGAGAAGGGATTGAGGCTGGCCATCCCCGTTGGGGTGAGTGATTTCTTGCTTTCTGTCTCTCTGTCTCTGTCTTTCTGGCGAGTGCATGCGCCCTATAGCAAAAATCTCTCAAAAAAAAAGAAAAAGAAAAGAAACTCACACTGGGCACGTGTGTGTGCATGTCCAAAATCCAAAGAGGAGAATGGAGGTGAAGGGATTGCAGCATGGTCATCCCCCGTGTGTGTGTATGTGTGTGTGCCGGGGGTTAGTTCTCACTTTCTCTGTCTCTCCGGTGAGTGTACACGCCCTACAGCAAAGATCACTTAAAAAAAAAATTTAGTCTTTTATAACTGCATAATCACTTAAACACAAGACAAGAGAATGATGGCAAGACTCAACTCAATTTGTGTTTCTACTGGGAGAGGAGCTAGGATGCAAGATTATAAAGGAGAAAAGATCAGCCCTTATCTTTAATCACACATCCATACATCCATACCACTCACTCACTCACATTTTCCTGATCCATTAAAAGAGATAATCAAGGGACCAGCAGTTAGCGTAACAGCTATGTCGCTGAACTCTCATGTAGTGAACTGCAGTTCAAATCCCAGACCCAGTAGCTTAAACTCATGCCGGGTGCGTGTGCATGCATGCCCAAAATATCAAGAGGAGAATGGAGAGGGGACTGTGGTGTGGTCATCCCCCCTGGGGGGGTGATTTCTTGCTTTCTGTCTGTCTTGCACACATACCCTATAGCAAAAACCTCTCCAAAAAAAGAGACAAATCATCAAGAGGGCAGAAATAGGGAACTTAATATTTACTAAGTGTCTACCAGGTGCCATGATTTAAATTTCCCCAAAATTCATGTGTTGAAATTCGGCTGTGATGGAATTAAGGTGAAAGTTTAATCCAACTATTGTGTTGAAAGGTAGGCTTTTGGGAGGAAATTAGGAATAAGGTCATTAGTGTGGGTCATCATGACTGAGTCCTGGAAGGTGCACAAGAAGGAATGAAACCAGAACAGACACACAGGACACACACGGCACGTGTTCCTGCATTCCATCATCTTGCAATGCAGCTGGGCCTGGACCTCCAAACCAGGAGCCGAATAAGTCTCTATTCTTTTTTTGGCAGGGAGAGGTATTTGCTATAGGACGTGTGCTCGCCAGAAAGACAGAGAGAGATAGAAAGCGAGAAATCACCCCCCAGAGGGGATGGCCACACCGCAATCCCTTGTCCTCCATTCTCCTCTCGGGATCTTAGGCATGCATGCACATGCGCCCGGCATGAGTTTAAGCCATCGGGTCCAGGACTTGAACCACAGTCAACTACACTGGAGTCCAACAACATAGCTGTTACGCCAACTGCTGGTCTCAAGTCTCTATTCTTAAAAGTCGCCATTTCAGGTCTTTTCTGTTATTAGCAACAGAATGGACTAGAACACTAGGTCAGTTACAATTCTAGAAGGAATATTCTAAGAGGGTATCTGTCTGCACCCTTAACTTGGCTGCCTTTCTCCTCAAGAAGAAACAGTATCCTTTTCCCACTCTCTGTATTCTAACTGGTGAGCTTGGGGAAGAAAACAGCGTAAGCAGTTGAGACCCTTCCGGGCTCTCTCTTTTTGGAAGCAAGACAGAAATATTCTGTTCTTCCAGAAAATAAAGCTGTACTGGTGGAGTGAGTCCAAGTAGAATGGGCTAGAGAGAAGTCTGAAAGTCTGGATATGAAGGTATAACTCAAGGGTACCATATTGAAGATGCCAGATAGGGTCAGACTGCAAAGCCATGTTCTCAAATTCAGCTTTATGACTGGGTCGCCGGGAAATAAAGGCATTTTTGCATAGAAAAACATGCCATGACTTTCCCAACAACCTAATAATAGTAAAGTTCACGTTCTGATTTCCATCTGCCTATCCTAGTCCTTGATCCATTCTGAAGTAAAGGTGGAGATAATGATATCATTACTCCATAACTCTAAAACTGAAGGTCAGCGAGGTGAAATGATCAGCCCGAAGCCCAAAGGTAGTAGTACCAAGTATGAAAAGAGAATTCTTTTCCACACTCCCACACTGCCTTGTCAATAATTCATAAAAGAAAAAATTCAAGTATGCTACTAACCTGACAGACAAACTTGACATCTGGCGAGGATCTATTGAAGGGTTTCGGGAAAACATAGAAGTTAAACGACTTCGTTATATACCTGGAAAAATTCGATAAAAGGAGACTTAGGGGCATAGGTTATACCATAACAAAAAAAATTCCCAGTTTGGTAAAACAACCTACTTGGAATCTGTGTTGTCATACTTAAAAGTGCAAAGGCCAAACTGAAAGAGCAAAAAGTCCATGGAATGCTGGAAAAGGGAAATAAGACATCCGTTACAACAGTGCTGCACATTCGGCATGAGCAACAGTACTCTCAATCAGATGGGCTTTCTGAGTTACTCAACTTGACTCTGGCAGAATACTTCTGATGAGAACAGATAACTCAGATGATGTATCAGAAGCATTATTAATTTACATCCATTTATTTTTTTTCCCCAATTCAACATTTATCCATCAATGAGAACATATTAGTTCTGTTTCCAAATGATTAAAATAACCATAGTTCCCCAAAATCAAATTAATATTAAAAATACATATAAAAGTTTCCCAAAATGTTTTCCAGCAAACAATTATTTTTGCTGTTGAAGTATCACTAAAGTATTTTTTCTTGGCTAGACTTGAGAAGCACTACACTTAGGGAACTCTAATGTCCAAGTATAATGATTGTATTTCTCTATAATCAACATAAGAACCAATACAGGAGAGAAAAAGATGCCCTAGCACATCCACTTGCCTTTTTAAGCTTTTGATACCTTTCTTCTGGAGTATCAAAACCATTTGTTAATGCAGTGACTGAAGGTCCATCGCTGATTCCTAGATTAAAAAGAAAAAAAAAATGTTGTTGGGGCTGGCAGGTGGCATGGTGGTTGGAATGCTGGACTCCCACATGACTGACTGTGGTTTGAGTCCTGCACCTGGAGGCTTGCTTTTTCACCTTTCTGCTCTGGTTCTGTCTCTCTCTGGTGAAGTTTAAAAAAAAATAAAAAATAAAAATAATAATAATAATTAAAAATTTAAATAATTATTCAAAAGTTAATTTAGTAATAATAAATGCTAACCTAAAAATGTCTGTCAACCATTCAATGCCTCTATAATTTCACAGTCTTTTTTTTTTCTAATTGCAAAGGACACATGGGTAGGGGGAGCAACCCCCAAAAGGACACAGTCACGCCACAATCCCTCTTCTTCTACTACTCCATCCTGTTGGGATTTTGGGTACACATGCACACATGACAAGTCTATTTTTCAAGCCACTAGGCCAAGACTCAAACCATAATCAGCCATGTGGGTCCTCCTTTAACCACGAGGCTATAGCATCAGTCTTAATTTCATATGCTCATGAATTAAGGTGAACTGGAAGTGAGTAGTTCCTACATCCCTTTTTCAAAATTAGCATTAATTTCACCTGCCACCAACCTACACTCTATAAACAATAAACTTACAGATGTGTTTCAACTTCAAAATGGGCAGTTCAAAACACCTCTACGCTTAAATAAGTTTTGCTGCATAATCAGACATCAACAAATCTTTATATTATTGCTAGAGTACTAGTCTTGGTCTCTGGTTTGGAGTAGCATGTCTGTAACAAAGGTATTTTCCAGGTCAAGAGAAAATTATTTCTGGTGAAAACTCTTAACTTCTTAGGGGACTGACGCCACCTAGAAATTTTTTTAAACATGTGCAATCAGGTAGTAAAAATATCCATCTACACGAAAAGGAGCAAATTGTCCATGCTGACATCTACTTCAAAAATGAATCTTTATTCTCTCCCCAAAAGACAAAACCTTTCGAGTATAAGTCTGGGTGAAGTATTACACACACACACACACACACACACACACACCTGCAATGAACACTTCCACTAATGCATAAAGGAATATCCTCATTTACCTTCAAAAGCATAGCCCCAGGCAGTCCCAGAAAGAAAATATTGTAAGAGTTTATTTGAATAAGGTGTCTTGAGTAAATGCTGGTTGCCAGAGGCTTGGGGAAGGGAAGAATGGAGAGTATAAAGTGATGGAGACCCAATTTGGGAAGATGAAAAAGGAGACCCAATTTGGGAAGATGAAAAAGTTCCAGAGATGGATGATGAAGACTGCACCACAAGGTCAATGTATTTATTGCCACTGTAAACACACCTTAAAAATGGCTAATATGGGGACCAGCAGATGGCATAATGGTTATGTTGTTGGACTCCCATTAAGTCAATGGCGGTTCAAATCCCAGACCTGGCCGCTTAAACTCATACTGGGTGCATGTGCAAGCATGCCCAAGATCCCCAAGATCCGGAGAGGAGAAAGGAGAAGGGATTGCAGCGTGGCCATCCTGCTTTCCATCTCTCTCACTCTTTCTAGCGAGCACATGTACCCTATTGCAAAAACCTCTCCCCTGCAAAAAAAAAAAAAAAAAAAAGGGCTAAAATGGTAACAATGGTTACAAAGATTTTTTTAAAAGCCTGACCCTAATCCTCAAGCTTTCTACCCCACACATGTCAAGCTGTTTTAAATCAACAAAACCATAATCTCTATCTGGAATCCTCAGGGCCTGCACAATCACAAATCTGCTCGGCAAGTCTCCGTGTTCCTGAAACGTTTAAATGCTGAGACACGTGTCAGCAGCGCTGAGACTCAAGCAGCACACCCAAGGCTACACGCGGCAAGAGCAGCCTGCAGGCATGAAAAACTGGGGCCCTGAAGAAGCCCTGGCTACACGTTGCAAAGATCTAGGTCTGAATTTGCAAGGAAGGGATACCTGAAAATTCCCCATCGATGGCGAAGAAGTCAGCCTCCTCTATGGCTTGGTACACTTTCTGAAGGTTACTCTTAAAATCTGCGGAGAAACCGAAAAGAGGCTCAGCAACAGTGGCCTGGCTTCCTGCTCAAAGGCTTCTAAGGGGAGAGGGAAGGAAGGCCCAGGAGCTCCTGAGGCCGCGGCCAAAGGAGGACAAAGTTCCGGAGCCTTGCATGGATAGGAGGGGGTCAAGAACTCCAGGGGTGCACGAACCAGCCAGGGTCAACACTACTACGAACGCTGCATGGGCCAAAGAGGACAAGGCCCGAGGAGTGCACGGGCCTGAAAGTAACGAGACCCTAGAGGGTTCCGGGATCCTCGGAAAAGAATGCCCCTGGACGCAAGGTCTGCAGCAAGTCAACGCCCCACGACGTCCCCGGGCTTAAGGGCAGCAAAGCCCTGAGGGGTTGCCTAAGCCTCGAAACCCGCCAAACAGCCCGACCATGGTCGGGGCCTAGCAAGCCAGAGACGTGGTGCGGGGACGCGGGGAGGTGCACGGCAGACACGCACTGCTCCTGATTATCTCCATTCTGCAGAGTGGCCGGAATCCCGGCCCTGCCCCGGCCGGCCTCAGCCGTTCTACACCGAGAGATTCGCCGCTTCCGCGGCAGCAGAGGAAGCGGCAGGGGAGACCACGGCGGCCACTTCCGGAAACAGCGCGCGCCCACTGCGCCTGCGTAGACTCTTGCGTCACGCCGGGGGCGGGGCGAGGTCAGGACTCCCTTTACGCCTCCCAGGGAAGGAGGACGGGCGTGGTTATTAAAGACCCAAAGGTGTGGCCTAATTCGTGGAACTTTGACTTTAGAATAGGCTTGTCCTGTCATTCAGTAGGACAACAAATATTTATTGGGTTGATATTATGTGCCAGCCCCTGTGATAGGGTAAGGACACAGTGATGAACAGATAAACATGGCCCCTGCCCTATTGGAGCTTAAACTGGGGTCCTGAGGCTGCGGGCCGAACAGGGACATGTCCCAGAAAGGTGCTTGAGCCGAGAGGGGATAGGAGGAGGTCCGTACCCAAAAAGGTGCACGGAGCAGCTGGGATCAACTCGGGAAAAGAGGAGAGTCAGGCAGGAATCAAATGTGACACAATAATCGCTAGGAAGACAAAAAGCAGATAATAGAGGGGTCAGGGAAAGCAGAGCTAAGATTTTCATCTACTGCACTAGCCATAGGAGATACCATGGTAGCCACAACAAATGAGATGTTGCCCTAACAGAAATGTATTTTTTAATAAATATTTATTTATTTAATTCCATTTGTTACTATTTTTTATTTGAACAGAGAGAGACAGAGCAAAAGGGGAAGTGAGGAAGAAAGCTGCCAGAGAGAGAGAGAAAGTGAGAAAGCAAGCCACAGATCCAGGACTTGAACTGGGGTCAGCCATGTGGGAGTGTCCAGCGCCTCAGCCACCACGCCACCTGCTGGTCCCTAGAAATGTATTTTTATTTACTTATTTTTTATTATCATCATAATCTTGTTTATATTGGGGACCAGCAGGTGGCGTGGTGGTTAAGGCTTGGATACTCCCACAGGGCCCGGCAGGGGTTTGGGTCACTCCCACATGGCAGACCAGGGTTCAAGCCTTGAATCTGTTGGCTTGCTTTCTCACTTCCTCTCTCTCTCACTCTCACCCTCTGTCTCTCTCTGATCAAACTAAAAAAATAAATGAATGAATAAGTAAAATAAATAATTTAAAAAATAATCTTGTTTATATTACATTGGATTGCATATAACTTTACAGTGTATTACATTGCTTTTTCAGAAGGGAATGCCATGCATGTCAGTCAGTACAGAGACATTAATCTCCCCACTTCATCATTCAATACCTTTTCATTGTTTTTCCCAATCATTATTATTATTATTTCAATTATTTTTAAATAATCAATCACTATTTCTCATTTTGCTTGTAAAAAGACTTTACCCATCATGAAATACTTCTCAAACCAGTTCAATTGAGAATACTATACATGTCATCATCGACAAGTATTAAGCCATATCTGTTTCCCATTAACATCCTGCCTCTCTATTCTCTTTCTTTCTCTATCCTCTTCTTTTCACCCCCCCCAATTAGAAATGTTTTTTGATTTGAGGTTACTGTTAATCCCAAAGTCTAGCACTGAGTTTACCCGTAGTTGACATAAACAAGGGTTGAGTGGATGGGTTCATGATGATCTTTCACAAAAACAAACACTGAAGTTGGTCTAGCTCATTCACTTATTAGGTCCTGCAGTTGTTTTGAGGGTCGGGGGAGATAATGTATGTGAATTATAAAGTACTGTCTAAATAGATCTGTATAAACAACCGTTTAATGGAAATGGAGTTTCAGTTTGGGAAGATGAAAAAGTCCTGGAAATGAAGGGTGACGAAGCCTGCACGACGTGAATGTGCTTAATTCCGCTGACTTGTATAATTAACAATGAGTAAAATGGTAAATTTAAAGTATTAAATGTAGCTGCTACTGCAAATTTAAAAAATAAAAATTAAAAAAAAGGCTTATACGCGTTGCTGGCTTATCCTCCAGAAAATTAGTTTACACGCTCTCTGCCCTGGCCGGGAGATTACTAAAAAGCTGACCAATTTTTTTTTTTTTTTCACTCTTTGACCATTTGGTAGGTTGGGGGGGAAAAAGTGTCATTCAAATCGCACTTTAGCAAACTCCAGGCCAGCGATTTAAAAGAGATAATAATCAGCTTAAGTCTCAACACACCAAGATGCAAGGGGGTAAAATGCGGTGACTAGTTCCCGTTATTCTCAACACCGCGTGTGAAACTTTAGCCGTGGTTCTGTGATTCTCTACAAAACATTGTGGAAAATATAGTGTAGTCTTGGAACACTACTCCAATTTCTGAGCAAAGCTATTTCCTCGGGATACAGAAACTGCCGCCGAGGAGAAGCTACAGGCTGACACCGCCTCTCCCTCGGGGCGTTAACTCCCAGGCCAACAACTCTCCGGGAGTCGGGGAAGGGGCGGACCCGCGGTGGTACGCATGCGCTCACGTCCTCAGCCGGGAGTAGCCGCTCTAGGCTGCGGGGAGGTCGCGGGGTGGAGGGGGTCGGGGAATGAGGGAGGCCTCTCCTCTATGGTCGGGGGCCGGGGGCTCTCGGCAACGCAATCTGTCCTAGATTACTTCCGGAAGTGAAGCCTCCGCCTCCTCCTCGGCTTCCGCGGGGGTCCTGGCGGGAGCGATGGCACAGGCTGGTGGTCCCTGAGCGAGTGGAATGGTAAGCTGCTCAACGACCGAAGATGGTGAGGGGGCTGCACGGGCTTGATTTCGGGGCGTGGTGTGGAAGGCGAGACGGGAGTCCCTTCGGCCGAGCCGTCTAGCCGGGTCAGAGGAGGCGCGCGGGCCTTTCCTCCCCAGGCCCGGGTCCTGGGAAGCCCCAGTCCTGGTCGCAGGGTGCGGACCCAGCTTGGCCAACTTTCCCATCATTTTCCCAGAGCCCCATGTCGTCATGGCCTGTCGCTGGGCCCCACCTGGGTCCGTTCAGGGGTCAGAAGCAAAGCGACCTGCTCCAGAGGCTCCCCAGGGCAGTAGAGAGGGGGCGTAGCTTCCATGGACCATGGAGCGGACGAAGGGGAGCCTGCCCATCAGGAGCCCCTGCCACAACCCGTCTAGAAGTGATGGGCGCCAGGCTACGCTTAGGCACGTTGTGTCCCAAGGCAGAGTGATTGGCCCTTTTAAAATAGAGTAACTGAGGGGCAGAAAGGAGAAAGTGAAATCCCAGATCACACGGGGGCAGGGCTAGAGCCTGACTTTTCTGATTCCGAGCTCACAGCTCACAATCTGAACTTGTGCAATGGAGTGTTTTCTTTTTATTAAAAGGGGAGAGGAGGAGAAAGGGGAGGGGACAAACGAGAGGCTGTGTCTAAGTGGAAGTGTTTGGCGGGTCAGGAGGCGGCCCCCCAACTTTGGTAGAGAAGAGAAAGTGGCTGAGCGCAGACGCAGTCATGCGGTCCACTGTCGCCGTTGGGTCCTCCCCACCGAAGCCCATTGGTTGGATCTTTGGGGATAGTCTTGACGTAACTCCGGAAAGGCCAATAGGGAAGAGCTTTGCTCCCATCCCGGGCACACCCTAAAGCCAGCGCCAACTACACGTGCCGATGGGATTATTTTGGTTTTTTTTCCTGTCATTGCTTTTTTTGTAAACAGCCAGCCTGAGTGTACTCTACGTTTCCCTGGGTATCTCCATAAACTTGATTGAAAAAGTACTTCTCCAGAGCAATTTTTTTTTTTTAGCTCCAGCGTTTGGCACTGACACTAACTGCATAGCTGGCACTCAGTAAATGCTACTATTAATAATTTTATTAATAATACCAGTCAGCCATACAACAAACTCTTTTTGAGTATCTGTGGATAGAGTTTGTCATCTACACCTCCCAACACGCTTGTATTATAACCTAGACTGATAAATGGGAAATCCGAGGCTCAGGGAGGACAAACGGTGACCTGGTTTGGAAGCCAGATCAGTTTCACTGATCATGTACTGTTTCACCTTTAACAGCTTCTTCAAGGAAACTAAAGTCACAGAGATGAGAAAATACATTCAAGTAAAAGTTACACTAATGCACGGAGGCAGAAAAGATTAATTTGGCTGTGGGGGTGAGAAGAGGACTGAAAGTGTTATTTAAACTTAGTTTTGTTCACTCCTTCTCCATATCTTGAGACATGAGTTTAGGTATATAAATGTCTATTTGTATGTAACAGCTCTCCAGTTCCCAAATTTGTGTGCATATAAGAATTGCCTGGAGTGGAGCTGGGTAATGGCACAGCAGTAAAGTGCAATGCTGGGTGAGATTGGCCCATGGGTGAGGGTTGTGGCGTCTCCCCAAGTACACTGAGTATGTGAGTGCCCATGATCTGAAGCTGCCTGGGGGTGGATTGTGGAGTCAAGACCCGGCTGGGGGTGCTGAGGTCTCTCCATCTCCTCCTTTCTCCCTCTGTTTCTCTCATTAATGAGAGAAATAAATACACTTTTAAAATGCATATGAAGAAGCCGGCAGGTGGCATGGTGGTTGAGGTGCTGGACTTCTACATGGCCAACCGTGGTTCAGGTCCTGGACCTGGTGGCTTGCTTTCTCATTTTTCTCCTCCCTCTCTCTGTCTTTCTCTGGTCAAATTAAAAAATATATAATAAATAAAATTAAATAATTTTTAAAATGCATATGTATATATGTTTATATGTATTCTTAATGTATAAGTAGATGCCATATATAAACATACAGAAAAATCTCCTGAAGGGACAAATTGTGTGTGTGTGTGTGTGTGTGTGTGTGCGCGCGCGTGTGTGTGTATGTATGATCATTTCAGATATTCTTTCTAAACCAGCAGCTCAGGTATAGACCTGGTAGCTTTCTTTCTCACTTTCCTTCTCTCTCTTTTGCTCTGTCTCTCTCTGGTCAAATTTTTTAAAATAATAATAGTAAATAAAATTAAATCATTCTTTTTAAAAATGTTCTTTCCTAGGCCTCTTATGGAAATCTTGGTTTAAGTTCACTGAACTTTCTAGGTGATTCTGATAAAAGTGTCAAGAACTACTGTGATAGGAATCAAACAATTATAATTTTATTTTCTTTTACAGATATCTAGAGCCTGGCTTTGTGCCAGCTACTCTCAGGTATGATAGGATTCTATGGCTTGGTTCCTGACCTCAAGTTGCTCAGGATTTGCTTGGGAGACAAAGGTGAAACTGAAACAGTAATGTGTAAATAGTGTAAGAGTAGGCCAAATCTGAAAGGACACCTTAGTTTATAATGTGTGAGGCATAATGGGATATTTCAAAACCAATAGTTATGGTATGGGTTCCTTGGTAACCACCAGCAATTTCTAATTGCTTTCTGAGCTGTTGAACATTTGCAGGGATTAGTAGAGGACAGGTCTTTACATTTATGCCTTGTAACAGAAATGAGAGAGAGAGCTGTGATGGCCTTCCCAGTTTGCCTTCACCTTGCCCAACACCACTCAAGGCAGTAAATCATGAAACTTCAAAGTTCAGGCAGCAAGTCATCATCCAGAGGAGCTAGCCACCTGTGCCCTAGTGATTTCTGACCCTGTCCAGGAAGAAAACCTGTTTGGAGTTGGAAAAATGTAAGATTTTATACACTAAGGCTAGAAATGCTTCTCTTTTATGAAAAAAAAAAAAAAAAAAAACCACCAGTTTTTGCCAACTACAGGAAGTGCATGTAATCTGTTATTCATGCCATTTTGACCCTTGCCTTACTTACATCTGGCTGCATGTATTCTTACTTTATAGTCACTAGAAATGAGTGGGCACTCTTTGGACATTTAACAATATATGTAGTGTTCTTCCACCAGACGTGGACCCGAGGTTCCAGAAATAGGGATTCCCCTACCTGTGTAGACCCGTGTTACTACTGTAAATGTTTCTGCAGGGAACAGTATGCACCCCTTACAGCTACCAGCTGGAGTTCATATTCAAATGCACTATTTTCTTTTTTAAGAATTATTTAATTTTGGAGCCGGCAGATGACCTGGTGGTTAAGGGTGCTGGACTCCTACATGGCCGACCACGGTTTGAGTCCTGGGCCTGGCGACTTGCCTTCTCACTTTCTCTCTATCTTGCCCTGTCCCTCTCTGATCAAATTAAAATGAATAAATAAATAAATTAAATAATTCTTTAAAAAACAGACTTATTTTATTTCATTTTATTATCATTTTTTAATTTGACCAGATAGAGGGAAAGTGTGAAAGCAAACCACCAGGGTCAGGACTCAAACCACAGTTGGCCATATGGAAGTCCAGCACCCCAAACACCAGGTCACTTGCCAGCACCATATTTCAAATGCAGCCTTATCAGTTCTGGTTTGTCATCTCAGCTGGGCAGTAGTAGTTCTGTGATGTCACCTAGATGAGGAGTGAATCAGTCCTTTGAACTAATAACTGCTATTGATTACCTTACTGGGATAATGTCGTGTTATGAGGACAGGCGTTAAATCAGACCATGATCTTGGTTCTGTTCTTTACTAATTAGTTCTCCGTTTTCTCATCTGTTAAACAGGGATGACAGTGGTACTTATCTCCTGAGAATGTTGTGCCTTTCACATAAAGACTCAGTAAATATTAGCAATTGTCATTCTTCTCTGTGACTAGGTAATATGTAATGAGAACAAATAGTCTAACCAGAGGTCCATAGAAGCCAAAATCTGTTCTTACACTGGACATCTTTGTGTGTTTCCAAGATCCTAAGGGGATGGAGAATTGAAGAGAAAGGGAACTGTGGTGTGACCACATCCTATGGGGAAGGGTACTTTCTCTCTCTCATGTACCCTTTGATACTAAAAGTAAAAAAAGAAAGAGATGGAAAGGAAAGGCATGAAAAGGAACGCAGTGCCACCGGCTGCTGAGTAGTAGAGTCCCTCAGGGTAAGTCCATAGATAAGCACTCCACCAAGTCAAACATCTTTCCTTCCAAAGGAGGAAGGTCAAGTTCGTTGTAGCTCTGTAGTTACATCACAGTATTGGGAAATCGTGTCTTCCCAGCCCTTTCTTTTTTTCAGATTGTCAGATAACTATACCATATCAGGTAGGTATAAGTATAGGAAAACACAGAAAAGGTCATGTTGGTAGAATCTTGGACTCGCCGAGTTGTTAGAAGTATGATAGTTGTTTCCTGGTAGTTGTGCCAGCAGAACAAACACGTGAACATGTTAGGGGGAAAATCGGCTCTGCTGTTTGTTCATGTGTATGTATTCGGGTTATTCTTCACGTACTAATACTGAGATTATATTCTATTTCTTGACACTGAAATTTTGTACTGGTGTGTCCTTCAGGTGTTTTGGGTTTTTTTTAAGAGAGCTTTTTTTTTCTTTTTTTTTTAAAGCGAGCAGTATACACTTGCTGAAGAGACAGAGAGAGGAAGTGAGAGATCACCCCCTATAGGGATTTGGCCGCACTGCAATCCCTTCTTCCCCCTTTTCTTGGGATTTTGGCATGAGTTTCAGGCTACCATGCAGGAGTCCATTACCTTAACCACTGCACCACCTGCTGGCCCCTCTCCAGGTTTTTGGGTTTGTTTGGTTTTTTTTTAAGAATTATTTTATTTACCTTTATTTATTTATTTTTAATTTGACCAGAGAGAGAGAGTGAGAAAGCAAGCCGCCAGGTCTGGGACTCCAACTGTGGGAGTCCAACGCCCCTAACCACCACGCCACCTGCTAGCCCCCTTCAGGTGTTTTTAAAGTTACACAGGTAAGTTATTGGACTGTGTTCTTCAGTATGCAGCATGGGCACAAACCACAACTTTAGGGATGTCTCATTTGCATGGACAGGGAAAGTTTACCCACCTGGAACATACATGGGCCCCCTCTTTATCTTTTCAAGTTTATTTATTTATTTCTTCCATGAGAGAGAAAGACACAGTTACCCCCAACACCTCACACTGTGATCCACCCCTTGTCTGAGCAAGCCAGGATCACAGGCATGCGCAGGGACACCTTAGGACATGAACCCAGGATCGTCCCATGTGATCAGCACTGACTGTGTTATCACTGTCCCCCGTGGCTGCCTACACATGTCCTCCTGCTTCACAGCTCTGAGATCACAGTAATAACTTCAACTCCTCACATATATACTAATGTGAAATTTGGAGAACATGTGTCATTGTCCAGGATCTCATGGCTCAGATGGTAGGGCTGGGGCTCAGATCCCGTCTTCTGGTTTCAAAACTGAGGGATATTATACTGTCTCTTAAACCTGAAGGTAAAAGATAACTCAAAAAAAAAAAAAATGTCTTAAAGGCTTTGTGTAAAATGTTTGATTCATGGAAGAGCCCATAAACCCTAACTTGCATTCATTTTGAACTAGGTCTTTAGGACTTTGAAGGGATTGAAGACAACTCAGACATTTTAGACACAGAGCTTTTCACACACAGAGGCCAGCAGGTGGCATGGCAGTTAAGGTGTTGGACTCTCACATAGATGACCACAGTTTGAGTCCCAGACCTGAGTCCCAGACCTGAAGGCTTAAAAGATCACAGCAGGCACGTGTGTGTGCATGCCCAAAATCCCAGAAGGAGAACGGAGGATAAAGGATTGTGGCATGGCCATCCCCTGGGGGGTGATTTCTCACTTTCCTTCTCTCTGTCTCTCTCTGGCGAGCACAGGTGCCCTATGGCAAAAACCTTACACGCACACACATACACACACAGAATCCACAGAGCAGGGCTCTCTGCCTCTGAGTCTGAAGCAATAATTAGGAGGCCTCTTTCTCAGCTGTAGGCAGTAACAGCTTAGTGTTTGACAGTAAATCAAGAGAGAGGAAAACAAGAAGTTGACAGAAGTCCCAGAGCTGAGTATCCTCCAGCCAACCAGCCCAGACACAACCACACACCCACCCATCTGTGCACTCAAAAGGCATCAGTTGTGAGACGAGGGATGAAATCTCAGGGTCAGGCAAGCAGCGGAACTAAGAACAGGTGGGAACGGACACTGGCACACTCTGGCAGAAAGGGCAACTGCTGAGCTCCTCAGCTTGGGCAGAATCTTGTCACATGAAATGGGATTCCAGTGTTGCCAAATTTTCTGACCCCCCCTACCCCCAAGAGAAGCCGGGAATCTAGATATTTAAGTGAAATTAGATTTTTTTTTCTTTTTTTGGAGAGGTTTTTGCTATAGGGCACATTTGCTCGAAAGACAGAGACAGAGAGACAGATAAAAAGCGAGAAATCACCCCCCGGGGAGATGGCCACGCCGCAATCCCTTCTCCTCCATTCTCCTCTCAGGATCTTGGGCACGCATGCACACGCGCCCGGTGTGAGTTTAAGCCACCGAGTCCAGGACTCAAACTGCGGTTGACTACATGGGAGTCCAGCAACATACCATTATGCTAGCTGCTGGTCCCTTGAAATTAGATTTTTTAAACCCTAGCACCAAATTTGGGCCAGCCAGTGGTTCAGCAATAGTGCAACACTGTGATGCTGGACCACGTCCTGAGACCTGTGCACTCCCCTGTTAGGGGCTGGCTGAGGATGGATCACAGCATGGCCACTCTGATGGGGATGCTTGTCTTTTTCTGTCTTTCTTTCATGGAGGGGATAAATCAACTTTGAAAAAAAAATGATAGCTCCAAATTCAATTGGGATAAAGAAAACACCATATGAAAGAAAATCTGCCTGCAGATCAGATGTTGTCCCAGTAGGGTGGTGGCTGCTGCTAGTGAGGTTATTCCAGGACATGGAGGATGGACACCTGTGACAATGCTGTATCACAGTGGAGAGGCTCACCTGGTTCCTTATAACCACTTCAAAGAGCAGGCAGGAGAGTACAGTAAGAGCCTTTTGACAAAGTGGGTAGACTGCTCTTAACTGCTCTAGGCCTTGGTCCCCTCTGAGAGCCTAACGAGGACTCGAGACTGCTTTCCAGGAAAACAGGCATACCGTGCTCGAACATGGTGTGGCCTGCAATTCACACCTCCTGGAGGATCTCTCCAGACTTAGCCCAAGACCTACCTTTTTACTCAGAAACCTCGGCTGTTTGGAATGACTCAGTCCCTATGGGAATTCCTGAGGTTTTGCTGTACTGTAATTGTTCAACTTACTGTTTTAAATTTGTTTCTGTCTGCTGCTTTGTAGACTTGTGCAAACTTGGGCATTCTTCCAGTTAGTTTTGAAACTAGGTAATTAGCACTTGCAAGAAGTGTATCTGTGTGAAAGGGGTACAGGGAATAGGAAAAGAATGATTCTTCTCCCAGCAATCATGCCCATATCCCCATGTCTTCTCCCCTGCTTTTGAGACAAGGGAGAAACAGTTGTAAAGAACAGTAGCTGAAAGTGCCATTCCAGCACAAGCTCACTTGCAAAGAGACGGAGAGCAAGCCACTTCTCACAGCTCCAGCCTGCTGCCAGGCTGGTCCCGTTTGCAGAGAACAGCTGTGCTTGTCCTGGGGTGTATGAGGCCTTCTCAGAGAGGCCTTTAGTCATCGCCAGTGCAGGAGGGTGTATTTACCTTTGTCAGAACATCACAGCTTGTAACTTTAGTGCTAGAGCTGAATTTTATCGTTTAAAAGACACTTTCCTCCTCTAACAGCACTGCTTTCTTCTATCAGTGGAGATAAAATAAATACAGGCAGAAATAGCAGCAAAGATCAGCTGACATTGATTAGGGATGTGTATTGTTTTCTCTGTTAGCTTTTCACTTTTTATATGTAGGGTAAAATGAAACTAGCAAAACTCCTAAGAAATCAGTCTTGTAGTTTCTAATTTGTTAAAGGTAGTTCAATAGAGAGTTCATTGCCACCTCAGCTTTGCAAAATATGACTTAAACAATACACCTTAGGGACTAGTAGATGGCGTAGTAGTTATATTGCTGTACTCCCACGAAGCTGACCTCAGTTCAAGTCCCAGACTCGGAGGCTTGAAACTCATGGCTGGGTATGTGTGCATGTGTGCCCAAAATCCTTAGAGGAGAATGAGGAGAAGAGATTGCAGCATGGCCATCGCCTGGAGGTTGGTTTCTCGCTTTCTGTCTTTCTGTCTCTGTCTCTCTGGCAACCGCATTGCACCCTATAGCAACAATCTGTTAAAAAAAAATAAAAGCATCCTTGGCATCAGTGGATGGTGTGATGGTTACATCACTGGACTGCCACATAGTCGACTGCAGTTCGAGTCCCAGACCTAGTGACTTAAACTCATGCCAGGGGTGTGTGTGTGCATGTCCTAAATCCCAATAGGAGAATGGTAGAGAAGTGATTGCAGGTGGCCACCCCCTGGGGGTGTGATTTCTTGCTTTCTGGCTCTCTGTATCTCTATCTCCAATGAGCTCAAGCATCCTACAGCAAAAATCTCCAAAAATTAATAAATAAGTAAATACACCCTTAAAATCAGTGTGTGATTTGTTTCTACTCTTAAGAAATAAACTTGCAGATTTGGTAGGCAAGGAAATAGTGATGTATTCTGATGTAAAAGCCCAGTTTATGAGAAATTAACTTCAATATACATTATTTGTAATTTCTCTGCAAATGACTCTGAAATCCAAACATTTAGGTTATTCCTGACTATAGTTATATGTCTCCAACTGCTCACTAGACATTCCTTTTTTTTTTTTTTAGGAAATAAAATACCTTTAATTTTCTCATCATTTTGGTAAAATTACTCTAATATTCATCTGCATTATGTTACAGCTAGTAAAAAACCTTTTCTGGATTTTGAGAGGGAAAAGATCGATTTTACATTCTGACCATAAATGAGCTCATATGAGTTAAATTGCCCATCAGGCTTGGCAGAAGTCAGAATGTATGGATTGAATATACATAAATGTATATGTACAACCAGGCTCACTAGACATTTTTACTTGGAAGTCTTGTCGTTGCCTCAGATCAGCATTTCTAAATTCAACTTGCGTTCTTTCCAAAGCTGGTGCCGTTTGTTTACAGTGACCCAATTTCTGTCACAAGTCATCTTCTGCCTTTGTTCTGAAACCTAGCCAGCATCTTTGGTCATTCTCTTCTCTAGTTGCTAAAGCCAATAAATTATTTTCTAAAATCTCTCAGATTAATCCCTTTCTTTACATTTTCATTGTTGCCGCCCTCGTCCCACAGGTGACGGTACCTCGTTTCTAACACATCCCTAATTGTTCTTCCTGCTCTGGCCTCTCTGGCCTTCAGGGTGAGGGTCCTCATCCTCAAGCACAGTTTGCTTGTCTCTTTGCCTCTGAAACCTTTATGTGCTCCCACCTGCCTGCCTGCCTCTGGTTGACCTGGAACACAAGACCTTGCATTAGGCCTCTGTCCCCAGCTGTCAGTTACTGTGCTTAGACAACACAGAACAGAATCCTAGACAGGGTGAGCTATGCACGGCCCTATGATTTGAGTCCCAGACCTGGTGGCTTAAACTCATGACAGGCACATTTGTGTATGCATGCCCAAAATCCTGAGAGGAGAATGGAGGGGAAGGGATTGTGGTGTGGCCATCCCCCACGGGGTGATTTCTCACTTTCTGTCTCTCTGTCTCTCTTTGGTGAGCACACACCCTATAACAAAACTATCTCTTAAAAAGAAAAAGAATTTTATACTCTGTAAAAGTACAAGATTCTGTACTGTTAAAATTCTCTTATTACTGCATTTAAAACACGGGTAAACTACCGCCATTTATGGTATACTTAGGAGATGTCATGCTTTCTCCTAGGTACATTCTCTTGTCTAGCATCCAAACCTCCCCAGTGGAATAAAAACTATCACAGCCTCCACTTACACACACAGCTGGTATGGCAGAGGTGGAATAAGATCTCAGGTAGCCCAATCTTGGGACCTGTGTTTGTTTTTAGAGAGCTTTTTGCTATAGGGCACGTATGCTCACTGGAGAGACAGAGAGAGAGAGTGAGAAATCACCCCCGGGGGAATGGCCACACTGCAGTCCCTTCATTCTCCCAGGATTTGGGGCAGGCATGCACATGAGCCTGGCATGAGCTGCCAGGGACCTGTGTTCTTAACCACTGTGCCTGCAAAGCACAGACCATGCACCTTCCTGTATAAGGCCAATGTGCCTGGTAGGGACTAGTTTCCTTCCCTCCACAATAGCAAGACTGAAAAGCAATTTTAGCAGAGCACCAGAAATAGTATGAGTAATCATCTAATTAGCCCCATTCACACCCCACACCCACCATCCCAGCCACCTTCCTTCACTAGACCTAACCCTCAGAAGAAGCCTGGAAGGTTTGTGTCCTGTTACCACCCTTTCTTGGTTGAAGATGCAGCTGGGCGAGCTCAAGTCACTTAGACAGTCACAGAGCTAGTGAGTTGGGAATCGGGATTCTAAATCCAAGGTTTTCTCACCATTACTGTCTTTGAATTAAAAAAGAAAAAAAAATCTCAAGATCCAGAACAGAATGGTCCTTTGCCATTTGCGTATTAGTGACATTAGCATGTTTCTGTGACACTAAACCAGCCTGATCCAGAGGGTGTGATACAGATTTGGGGGGTAACAGTATATTGAGCCATGAGAGAGTTGGCTTACACAGGGCACCAGAAAAACACAAGACTAAAGTCACTTCCTAGAATTATTCCTTTTAGAGCTCTGAAATCAAATATTTGTGAAATAATGATTGCCTTATGGGAAGGCAGATTTGTTGGACAGAATGTGCTATTTACATGAATTATAGCTATTGTTGCCAGCTCTAAACATTTCACTGAACCAAAGGCTGGTTTATGTAAAACCATACACCTGGAAATGACTAGAGATTTCATTGAGAGCACCAAGATCAGAGAAATTACATCTTCAAAGGAAGTGAATGGAAGAAAAGGATCCAGAATTCTCTCTCCCACCCTCCCAAGTCTATTGACCCTTCCACTACAGTATTTTGCTTTACCCAGTTTTGAGAAATGTAACAAATAGGTCAGAAAGAACCTCAGCACTGGTTGTCTAGATTATGGAATATGGGTTTATATAAATCAGATTCATCACATTTAAAAATGAGAGCATTATATTTAATAAAATGGTAGTCCTATTAATGACTATTCAAACAACCACCATTCATCCTATTTCTATTGCTGTCCTCTTTATTTCCCCCTAGATTAATAATGCTTTGCAGCAGTTTTTTAAGTCTGAAATTTTCTGTCTGTGGATACCAGAATTTGCTAAGAGATGGAGGAGCCTCAGAAGAATGATCTGAACTCTACAGGCCTTGAGCAAGATGACTCTCTCAAGGGCACCAGCCCTCAGATTTCTGTTAGCGAGTTTTCCTGCCACTGCTGCTATGACATCCTGGTTAACCCCACCACCTTGAACTGTGGGCACAGCTTCTGCCGGCACTGCCTAGCTCTGTGGTGGGTGTCTTCAAAGAAAACAGAGTGTCCTGAGTGCCGAGAAAAATGGGAAGGGTTCCCCAAAGTCAACATTCTCCTCAGGTAAGGCCCAGGCTCTATGTATGGGCAGCTTGGACACTGGCTTCTCTGAATGAGGACAGGAACAGCATGGTTTACCTTAATGGGAGCAGCTATGTGTGAAAAGACCATGGGCTCAGAGTCTACCTCCTCAGTGATCCTTCTAAATAGATCTACTGCATTGTGAGTCAGAAGCTCAAGGACCTGAAAATCTGGACTCCTTTCCTCATCGGTGACTGTTATTTGTCCATTATCTATTATATTCAATAAATAAAGAAAGAATGGGGCCGGCAGGTAGCATGGTAGTTAAGGTGTTAGATTCCCACATGACTAACCACAGTTCAAATCCTGCACCCAGTGGCTTGAAAATCTTGCTGAGCACATGTGCATGCATATATGCATAAAATCCTGAAAGGAGAATAGAGAAAAAGGAGAAGGAATTTGTGGCATGGCCGTCATCCCTGGGGATCCTTTCTCACTTTCCCTCCGTCTCTCTCCAGCAAGTGCACACACCCTATGGCATGCATAAATAAATAAATAGAATAATTCTGGTTATCAGATCATCGTAATCCTATGTTATCTAATATTTATTGATTTGCAATTATACTAAGAACACTCTGTGTCTAGTAGAGGACATGGAATAATGGTATAATTTTGAATATCTGGTTTGATGCTGTTTTCCTTCTCTCTCTCTTTTTAATTTGCCTAAGGGTAGCACATGCGCTCACCAGAGAGAGAGCACTCCCATGAGAAATAGTGACACTGCATCCCTTCTCCATTTTGCCATCCTGTCAGGAGTTTGGACGTGCACATGCATGCACCAGCATGCTTCTCAGGCTGCCAGGTCTACGACTCGAAATGTGGGATCAGCCATGTGGGATCTGGTCACCTTAACCACCAGGCTATAGAGCTGACCCAGTGCTGGTTTTCATAATCTTTCGACTCTATTCCGGTTTTCACATTAAGTAAGAGTTTCTCAGGCACAACATTGCATAGCCAACAGCAAGTCCCATGATGGCTGTTCTTTTTCTGAATCTACGCAGATCATACTGTACCTGTCAGGTCCTTGAGGCTTAAGTTCTTGTGCCCACTTCCGTTGCCTCAGCAGTGTGTTCATCCTTGATTTCAACAGAGCACTAGCAAGGTCCATGAAACCCACCATTCTCTTTTTCTCAGGAAATGTACTTACACTTTGTTCTTACCTGATAGCCTTGCTTTACCTGAAGATTAATCTCAATCTCTTTTTTAGCAGTTATTTTTATTTAATTTTATTTATTTTATTATTTTTTTAATTTGCTGTAGGACACATATACTCATCAGAGAAAGAGAGAGAGAGAGACAGGTCTGGGATTCCAACCACAGTTGGCCATGTGGGAATCGAGTGCCTTAACTACCCTACCACTTGCTGGCCTTTTTTTTTCTTTTTTTGCCAGAGGGCAAGTACACTGCCCAGAAGGAGGGGCAAAAAGCAACCCACAGTAGGGCATGGTCACACTGCAGTCTCTCCTCCTCCATTTCTTCATCCTGCTGTGATCTTGGGAATGTGTACCTATGTGCCCAGTGTGTTTTCAAGCCACTGGAGCTGGGATGTATCTAGCTGTTTTGCCAACAGTGGAGACATAGATTGTTTCTAATTTTTTTTCCTTTTACCAACAGGACTGTAACAGGTATTCTCATCCATTCTCTTAAAATATCTGCATATTATTTAACATTGACTTTTATTTTGGTATCTATAGATTATATTTATTCAAAAAACTGTGTTGTGATTTGTTTTTTCCATTCTCCATAGGGATGCCATAGAAAAGTTATTTCCTGATGCCATTAGAATGAGATTTGAAGACATTCAGCAGAATAATGACATAGTCCAAAGCCTCACGGCCTTTCAAAAATACGGGAATGACCAGATTCCTGTAGCTCCCAACACAGGTCGTGTGAATCAACACAGAGGAGGGGGGTTCTTTTCCGGAGTGCTCACAGCTTTAACTGGTGTGGCAGTAAGTCTATCTCCATGTTTCTCTGGATCCCCCAGTCCCTGCCTCCTGCCCCTGGTTTCCACTGAATTTAGTTAAACAATCGATGATGCGATTGCATATAATTTACTGCATACATTAAATCTGCCATGTTGTATGATTTCTCCAGGAATGTTGATAACTCGAGTAGACCACATAGTAGTCAGCACCCAGTACATGTTAGCTTTATCTTAATTCTCTTTATAACTTATGCAGTAGGCACCATTAATGCTCCTACATTAGAGCTGAAGAAACCTGTGCAGAAGGGGTAGAACTGGAATTCAAGGCCATGTCTGTCCTGATACAGCTTTACAAGCACACCACTAACTTCCATTATAGGGACAATTATCTTTTTAAGTTCGGTGCTATAAAAAACTAAATGTTTTTTCCAATAGAAAAGGTGTATGAATCAGTTATGTTGACCAAGTTTAGGGGGGTTGTTGTTTTTTAAATGCCAGAGGGGTTCACACATGAGAGAGCAAGAAGACACTCCCCAACAGGGCCTTTTCTTCTAGTTCTCCTTCCCAGCCAGATCCTGAGTATATGCCTGGGCCTAGCATGTAAGCCACCAGGGCCAGGGCTTGAATCCAGATTGGCCATGTGGCATCCATTTTCTTTTGCTTAGTGTTGCATTTTTCTTTTGCTTAGTGTTTAACCATTGTTCTATGGGGTCAGCCCGTTGTTGACTAAGTCAATGGGTCAAAGGTGCAGTTGCTCCCTGGTACCCTGCGATAAGTCCTGGTCTGGTCTGGTCTGTGTTCCCTCACTGCTCAGCAGTCAGCAGAGATGAGCCTGAGGAAAGTTGCTCCCTCGTTCTCTGGTGGAGGCATTGCCCAGCTTCTGTTTATAGACTTGGCATCATTCCCCTCAAGCTCAGCCCCTTCCCTTCCCTGCCCTGCCCCACACTCACACATTTAGAAACTGGCATCTCTGACCTCTCTGTGTCTTAAGGTCCCTATCACTTTTCCCCAGGTGGTCCTGCTCGTGTATCACTGGAGCAGCAGGGAATCTGAGCACGACCTCCTGGTCCACAAGGCTGTGGCCAAATGGACAGCGGAAGAGGTTGTCCTCTGGCTGGAGCAGCTGGGCCCTTGGGCCTCTCTCTACAGAGACAGGTTTTTATCTGAAAGAGTTAATGGAAGGTGAGGAGCAAAATCTATGGCATGCCGTAGACTTTTTAAAAAAGTTTTATTGAGATATAGTTCACACAACATAAAATTACTCAAATGATGCATACAATCAGTGGTTGTTAATATAGTCACGGACATGTTTAACCATCACCACAATAGACTTAGGATATTTTCATTACTCTAGAAAGAAAGTGCTTACCCTTTAGTAGTTAATCCTCATTTTCCCCTTCCCTCAGTCCTTGGCAAACACCATTCTCTTTTCTGTCTCTCTGGATTACTATTCTGGATATTTCATATAAATGGAATCATACAATGTGTGGCCTTTGTGTCTGGCTTTTTTACTGAGCATATGGTTTCAGGATTCTTCCCTGATGTATCGTGTGTGAGTACTTCATTCCTTTTTATGGCTGGATAATATCCCGTTGTATGGATATGCCACATTTTATTTACCCATTCATCCACTGATGGACATTTGGATTGATTCCATTTTTTGGCCATTAAATAATACTGCTGTGATCATTCATGTACAAGTTTTTGTGTGAACATGTTCTTTTAACATTCTCTGGGCATGCCATGGTAGGATCATGTGGTAATTCATGTTTAATAAAGAAACAAACAAAAACTTTTTAAAATATAGAACTATAGCATATTGTAAGGATGATGCCCTTTAAGTCCTACTCTTCGAAAACCATTATTATCATCTCACAGGATGTCTTTCCAGATTTTTTTTCGGTGTACACAGACACAAATATATAAATATTATTTCTTTATTTAGATTGAAAATACACGTGTACTAAACAGCCTGTTTGTATGTACACATGTGTATGCATACTTATTTGTCTGATGCCCTCTGCCCCAGCCCCAGTGTAGAGTCGGTACACAGAATGCCAGGAAGTGAGAACAGTGCTCTCTCTAATTCATCTGTTTGGGACACTCAGTCCACCCCCTCACTCCTGTCACGTTTTCCCACTCCGCTGAACTTTCAACACTTGATTCCTTTGGGAAAGCAAAATATTCCCACTCTTGTTTTTCTTATAAGAATTTGCCTCCCCCAAAGATGTGGTTAAAAAAAATTGTCTACTTGCATGGGATAAGTTCCTAGAACTGGAACTGCTGTATCAAAGGAGAAAAGTCTCTCCAACTTTAAAAACATTACCAAATTGTCCCCAGAGGGTCATCAGTTTATACTCCGCCAGTGGGTGCATGTGCCTGCTGATGCCAGTGCTCGGGGATGTTTTTAATGCCAAGTTACTGTGGAGGTGGCTTCGTTTTCTGATGGGGAAAGCAGGCAGGGGTCTGTGGTAATTGTTGTTAAATTAAATCACTATCTCCAAACAAGTACTGTACTCTTAATAATACTTTATTAGATTTTCTTGGAATTTTTTCTGCACATACACATGCTTTAAAAAATAGAATAATGTTTGAGAGGTCCGAAGTTATAACTTAAGATCAGACTCTTAGGAACGAGGCAGAACTGGGCGTGCTTTGGGCAGGTCACTATTTCTCTAAGCCAGATGTCCACAAGAGGGGCATAATACCTCCTGCCCTGCACAGTCATTAAACAGATCATGATGATGTGTGGAAGTGTTTTCAGATAGCCACCGGCAGATAGTCCATATTCTGTTGCTAGCTATTGTTAATATTATCGCATATAGTAAATGTTTCACCTTACAACCAAGCCTAAACTGTTTGCTAGTATTTGTTAAGATGAAATTCTAATGTGAAACGTTTATTTCTAGTGTATAATCTCAAAAGAATCTCCTTCTACCCCATCCCTTCCCCAGACTGCTTTTAACTCTGACAGAAGAAGAATTTTCAAGGGCGCCGTATACCATAGAAAACAGCAGCCACAGAAGAGCCATCCTCATGGAGCTGGAGCGCGTCAAAGCACTAGGTGTGAAGCCCCCCCAAAATCTCTGGGAATATAAAGTGAGTTCTTTATCTTTTTAACTGGAAAAAAGTATAGAGAACAACATAGCAAACATCTGCACATCCACTGTTTAACTGAAGGAAGAAGACATCATGAGGCAGCCTTGTAGGGTGGTGCTTAAGGCGTCCTACACCGCTGACCATGCAGTTCGAATCCTGGTCCTGGTGGCGTGAAAAACATGTCAAGTATGTGTGCATGCTGGCCCAGAATCCTGAAAGAATATGACAAAATAGAGAAATGGTGAAGGGATTGCAGTGTGACCGCACCCCATTGGGAGGTGCCTTCTCCCCATCTCGTTCTCTCTGACAAGTGCACATCTTCTCTAGCAGTTAAAAAAGAAAGAGCAGGGGAGAGATAGAAAGAAAGGAGGGGGGGAAGAAAGAAAGAAAAAAGAAACAAAGAAAACCAAACCAAACATCACAGGCACACTTAAAACCCCCAAGTCTCCCTCCCTGTCCAGGAACCACACTCCTGCAGCTGTACTCTGTCCTTTCTGGCCTGTTTCCCACAGGGACTGCGGGTTTGTGTCTGCACAGAAGGAACTGGTTTACAGGCTTGTCACCTTGATGTGAAAGGATGACCTGAGCATGCTTTTCTGCGAATAGCTTTCATCTTGTGGCTCCCATTCACTTACTTTCTTCAGTGCTGTACTCCACTGCACAAGAGGATGACAGTTTATTCATTCTCTTGCTGATGGACACCAAAAGGATTTCCACTTGTGCTATTGTAAACAGTGCTGCTCTGGAGATTCCTGAGAAATTCCTAAGCTCAGATACAAGAGATCGTTTTCCTTTTTTTATGGTACAGTTGGTCCTCTATAACTGTAGGTTCCACATCCATGGGTTTAACCAACTGTGAATGAAAAATACTCTATCTATGTTGAGCATGTATAGACTTTTTACTTGTCATTATTCCCTAAATAATCCCACATAACAACTATTTATGTAATGCTTACATTATATTAGGCATTATAAATAATCAGAGATGATTCGAAGCATAGGGGAATAATTGCAATACAGTAACAATTGTGTATACAGTAATTGTATATAATTGCTATATGCAAATATTATATTATTTTTATAAAAGAGGTTTGAATATCCATAGAGTTTATTCTCTGCAAGGTGAGGAGGTCTTATTGCCAATTCCCTCACAGATACCAGGTGACTACTATAGCCTGAAAAGTAAAATTATTAGGTCGCAGGTAATGTACAACTTCAGCTTTATTAGATACTGATGTGTGAGTTTCAATATGACTACATCAACCAGTTCTCTTTCACAGAGGAGTTCATGGGTACTGTAAAGCAAATGCTATATTAGTCATTAGTTATAGTTCTTACAGAATACCTGGAATACACAGTCCTGTACCCTAAAAAAGATATTGTGCAGAAAAGTAAATGCAAGTAACTAAAACTCATTGGAGAAAATACTCATTCGTAATTAAAGAAATGCAAAGTAAAACAACTAGATGCCTTTTTTTCCACCTATGATATTGTCAAGGATGGGACATTTGATATTAGGATAGGGGCACTTGTGTTTGGCTCTCATGAATGGTGTACCTACTTCTGGGTCTGCCATTTCCCTTCTCTGCAAAAGTAGCATAGCATGGTCTTCGAGAACAAGGCTCTGGAGCCCACCTGCCTGGGCTCTTCCAGGACACACTGGCTGTGTGGACACCAGGAATGCCTGGGCCCTCCATGCCCACTTCCTCCTTTGGAAATGACCTCCTAGGGTCATTGTGAGAACTGAACATTTGATTCATGAAAGTCATTAAATAAGTTGTTGACTGCAGCCAGTATGGCTGGTAGCAATAGCACAGGGGACACAAGTGTCCATTATTAGGCATGGGCTAAGTAAATAAGGCACACCCATGCAGGCAGCCATTGAAGGAGGAGGAGGTGTGCACTAGTAAGGAAGGTTGTCTAGGATGCGTTGGCAACTGTTAATAAAGAAAGGCACGTTAGAAAACGTGTAAACTTGTATGTGTCTGTATATTTGCTGTGTGTAGGAAAATTCTGGAAGAATGCACACAGTATTAACAGGGGTTCCACCCAGGGAATGAGACTTTAATGGAAGAAAGAATTTTATTGGTCAGTTGATACATCTCTGTGCCATTTGAAAAAGTAACTCATTTACTATGTACATGTATTACTTTTTAAAACTAGTTTGAAAATTGTTGTAAGAATCTCTTTTTGGGGACCAGCAGTTAGCATAATGGCTATGTCGCTGGACTCCCATGTAGTCGACCGCAGTTTGAGTCCCAGACCCAGTGGCTTAAACTCACACCGGGCGCGTGTGCGTGTGTGCCCAAGATCCCGAGAAGAGAATGGAGGAGAAGGGATTGTGGCGTGGCCATACCCCCTAGGGGATGATTTCCTGCTTTCTGTCTCTCTGTCTCTGTCTGGCGAGCGCACGCGCCCTATAGCAAAAACCACTCCCCAAAAAAAAAAAAAAAAAGAATCTCTTTTTTATAATAGATTATTAGTTCTGTTAATATAGTTAAGCTCTGAACTTTACTGGCAGCTTTTAATATCTGACAGGACATTTTCAAATCTCAGGTCCAGCAGTGACCCTCTATTTAAAATACGTACAGGTCATTCTAATATTAACCAGAGGGCTGGCTCTGTAGCCTAGCAGTTAAGGCCTGGGCATTAGCGAGTAGTTCCCTCATGACTGACTGCAGTTTGAATCCCAGTCCCAGCAACTTGAAAAACACCAGGTGTTTATATGTATGTGCCCCAAATCCTGACTGGATAGAGAAATGGAGGAAAAAGAGTGGCAGGTGACCATGCCCCACTAGGGAGTGCTTTCTCTCTCTCTCTTTGTCTGTTTTTGTTGAGTACACATGCTCTCAATTTAAAAAAAAAAAAAAAAAATAGCCAGAGCAAATGGGAATGTGATTCTGGTCCTGGTATAAAAGCAAACAGAGGGGCCAGCAGGTGGCATGGTGGTTAAGGGCGCTGGACTCCCACATAGCCTACTGAAGTTCAAGTCCTAAACCTGGCAGCTTACTTTCTCACTTTCCCTCCCTCCCTCTCTCTCTCTCTCTCTCTCATGCTCTGTCCCTGTCTGGTCAAATTAAAAAATAAAGTTTAAAAAATAATTCTTTGAAAAAAAAATTAAAAAGCAAGCAAAATGTAATCCTCAGTCAGCTCCTTCAGCTCTTCCTGCTACCCAGCCCCTCACTGAGGCTGGGCATTTGATGACTGGCCACACTGGTGTCCCATTGCAGTTCCTCCCAAGGGCCACTGTTCTCCACAGACAGTGCCATAAGCATGCTGCTCCTCTGTCCCTCCATAGAGCTGTCCTCAAAGTCACCTCACTGGGTGGTTGTTTTTCCTCCTTATCTGGTGGAAGTAACCAAGAGATGGATTGTTTTGGCCCAGCACTCAAACAGCACCAGACTTATAAACACATGACCTGACCATCTTCCTTTCTCTTGTACTTAATCATGATCCGACTGGACACAGTCAGGCTTTATTCTTGGGACCTGAAACGAAGTGCCCTAGGGCATGCATCCGCAACAATTCCAGTAGAACAAAAACTGGTTCTTGGGGAGGGTCACAGATCTGTGAGCCTCCAAAGACACAGTGCATAAACAGACATACAGGATATCCAATATTAACACTATATTAGGAGGGAGGGATGAAAGTGTCAAAAGGCTTCTTCAGGGGGTGGCTTCTTTTCTTCCATCTCTTCCTGATGGTGGCAGCCGGTATGATCACTGATTGTTTTGATCCGTTTGTGATTTTTTTTTTTTTAGAGATTTTTTGCTAGAGAGTACGTGTGCTTACCAGAGAGACAGAGACAGAGAGGAGAAAGCCAGAAATCATTCCCCGGGGGATAGCCACACTGCAGTCTCTTCTCCTCCATTCTCCTCTTGGGATTTTAGGCGCACATGCACAAATGCCCAGTGCGAGTTTCAAGCTTCTGTGTCCGGGACTTGAACAGTGGTCGACTACATGGAAGTCCAGTGGTTTAACTGTTATGCCATCTGCTGGTCCCTGTTTTGATTTTTGATCCCTCAGTTTATTAGGAGTTGCAAAATGGGGTATCGTACTTCTCTCATTCTTTCTTCATTAATTACCTGAAATAAATCTTTTTTATAAAGGAATTTTCCCTTACTATTTGATTACCCTGAGTATAATTTATACTGGAAAGTCATGTTAAATGCTTGTTAGGGAGACCAGCAGTTAGCATAATGGCTATGTCGCTGGATTCCCACGTAGTCGACCGTAGTTCGCGTCCCAGATCCAGTGGCTTAAAACTCACGCCGGGTGCGTGTGCGTGCGTGCCCAAGATCCCGAGAGGAGAACAGAGAAAGGATTGCGGCGTGGCCATCCCCCCTGGGGGGTGATTTCTTGCTTTCTGTCTCTCTGTCTCTCTGTCTAGCGAGTGCACGCGCCCTATAGCGAAAACCTCTCTCATAAAAAACAAAAAGAAGAAAAAAATGCTTGTTAGGTAGCCACTTTCTATAAAGTCATTAGCTAAGGATTTTGACATTCCTACCGCCACATGCTGGCTCCTATCCTATCTTTATTCAGTAGGCACCTCTTGAGATTATTTTCATGGTCTATTTTTTTTTTTTTATTTAAATTTTGAGGGGCCTGGTGGGTGGTGGCTGAGGTGTTGAACTCCCACATAGCCAGCTGCAGTTTGAGTCCCAGACATGTTGACTTGAAAATCACGCCAGGTGTATGTACATGCGTACTCATAATCCCAACAGGAAAATATCGGAGAGGGATTATGGTGTGGCCATCCCCCTCTGAGAGGTGATCTCTCTCTCTCTCTCTTTTCCTTTCCAGGTAGCACATGTGCCATATTGGGGGGGGGGGCTTAACTTTTTAATCTAACATACTTACAAGCAAGTTCTTTCTTTCCTTTTTTTTTTTTTTAGATATTTTTGCTATAGTGCACATGTGCTCACTGGAAAGACAGAAAAAGATAGGCAGAAAGCAAGAAATCACCCCCCCCAGGGAGGGTGGCCATGCCACAATCCTTTCTCCTCCATTCCTCTCTCGGGATCTTGGGCATGCACACATGCTGCGTGAGTTTTAAGCCACCAGGTGCAGGACTCGAACCACAGTCGACTATGTGGGAGTCCAGTGACATAACCATCATGCCATCTGCTAGTCCCACCACCTGAGTCCTTTTGACATGACCTCAGAAATGTTTATGGAGTTTTTTTTTCTCATATGTCAAGATGTTCCCGTTAATCTT